AAAAATAAAAAAAAAAAGAAAGCAAATTTAGGCCAGGTGTGGTGGCTCACACCTGTAATCCCAGCACTTTGGGAGGCTGAGGCAGGCAGATCATGAGGTCAGGAGATGGAGACCATCCTGGCTAACATGGTGAAACCCCATCTCTACTAAAAATATAAAAAATTAGCTGGGTATGGTGGCGGGTGCCTATAGTCCCAGCTACTCGTGAGGCTGAGGCAGGGGAATCGCTTGAACCCGGGAGGCAGAGGAGGCAGTGAGGCGAGATCGCACCACTGCACTCCAGCCTGGGCAACAGATCAAGACTCTTCTCAAAAGAAAAAAAAAAAGCAAATTTAAATCTATGGTACTTTTTTTGTTAAGTAGGTACATTAATCTCTTTCATAAGCACTATAATAGTGTGGGTTTTTTCCTGTTTAGCAAGATGTTTGCAGCATCTTAAAGGATCTCATACACTAGGCCACAACCACACTTGAAATGAGCCCTCCTGTCTGAGTTTGCAATTTAGCAGCGATGTGGGGAGGAGAACCCTAGTTGCCAAGACACTGGAAGCCAATGGGAGATAGGATGGAGGCCCTAATTAAGTTAGCCTGGATCAAGTGCAGGGCATGAGGAGTGGAGATGTGGGCCAGGAAAAGCTGGAAGCCTGAGCACTGCAACAAAATAACTTCGGGTGGACACACTTCATCACAAGGCCACAAATGCTTAGTCCCAGGTTGAGGATGGAGTTTAAAAGTTTCAGTGAAAGACTAGCAAGGCTTCAACAGATAATTATGACTTAATAGAATATATACAGTATACTTCAATGCAGAACATACATTGACAATGTAGATGATAACAGAACGGGCTGCTAAGTATGGGTTTAAAATTCCAGTTCAGTCACTCACTAGTCATGTGACCTTGAAGTTAGTTAATATCTAAGTCTGTTTCTTCAACTGTAAAACAGGCATAACAATAGGCTTACTGTAAATAGGCCAGAAAAGTAGAGGAAATGCTTGGCCCATGGTAAATGCTCCAAGGATGGCAGCTAGAGATGATGCTATTGTTTTTTTATATTTTGCTTCAAAGTAGGTAAAAAGTGCTTAATTCATATTTATTTATTAGGCTGAATATTAAAGAACTGCATCTTCTACAAGGGACTTTCCTTAGATTCTCAGTTGAATTCATCTTTCTTTTAAATTTAAGAAACCTGGACGTCTCAGGATTTGCCTTGACCAAGTGCCACCTTCCCACCTCCAGGATCACTCTGGAGAATCACAGCCAAGATATGTAAGCTATATCCACACACACTCCAACCTGGAGAATTATATTAGGATTGGGAACACTTTCCTGGATGCTTTTCTCAGGTATCTCTTCAACAAACTAAACAAATGCACTCCTGGGGTGCCGCATCACCCACAGTATTTTTAATGGGTGGCTAAAGCAATCCTGGCTAAAGTCATGAAACCTTAACTGTCTTTCCCTTAACACTGCGTTACTAAAACCTTTCATCTTTTCCATTCCTTTCGACAAAGCCCTGTGAATTTACCTTTTCACTTCATCTATAATAGTCTCCAGTAAAACCACTAAAATTCAAGTGGATCCCCATGATTTCCATATGTAAATTTCAATGTGTTCAAAATTAGACAAAAAGACAGTGACGTGGGGGAATGAAGACCGTTAGAAGAACAAGAGGAGCTGAAAAACACGGGACGTGATGAGTGAAAGAACTGCCAGGGCGAAGGCGCAGTCCCCTGGCCGGGCACTGCTCGCCGCGTGGCTTACCCCCAGGGGCGGGAGCCCTTCCACGATGTTCTTCTTCCCAGAGAGGAGGTCCGACACCGGCCTCTTCTTCAGGGAGTCCCTCCGGGCTCGGTAGCGGCCAGACGTGGTGAGGTCGGACTCCGACATGGAGGGCGTCAGCAGCCCGTCTCTCCAGGGCCGCTGGGCCTCTGCGGTCGTGCGGACGGGACTGCTGTCCATCATCC